AACTTCAAATATTTCAAAGGCTATCGCTCGAAAAGTTTTCAAAGAAAAACTTTTTAAGCGAACTAGTCCGCTTCATGAATCATTTTGAAATATTCCAAAATAGTTTGCATAGAAAAATTTTCAATCCAGTTTCAATCCTTTCTGAAAGACTTGAAATATTTCTAATTTCATCGCGGGATTAGCTGCTTGGGAATATTAAAAAACTTTGCAAACTGATTCGTTCTATCATTTAACTAGAGTTATTTCCAACCTTCAAGGCCTAATTACCTTGCTTAGAAAATGATCGTTATTTTTTGTCAAGCAATGCGCTCTCTGAAACATTTTTCAAATTGCAAAGGTTACTTTGCTCAAAAAAACCTTGGTTACAAATTGTTAACCTTCAACTTTTCGTAAAACAATTTTGTTTACGAATGATTTTTCAAGTATTTCAAAGCTTCGTCTCTTTTTTAGCTTGCAAACAAAAAATAAATTTCAAGAAACGATTCTGGCTATAAAAAAATTTGAAATGCTTTAAAGTTCAGTCACGTTATAAGCTTACTAAGTTTTTCTTAAGCTGAGTCGCTCTTCGAATCAACTTGAAAGTGTTTAAAGTTTCAATGCTTCAATAATTTGCATTAAAAAATTTAATTATTTCGCCAGCCAATTTGATCCTTGAAAAAATGCATTTTAACAAAAAAATCATCGATTGATAAGCTTGCATAAAAATCACTAGCTTTTAGCGAATCATTTTGTTCTGTAAACTTGATTTTTTTGATCGATTTGCTCTCTGAAATCACTTGAAATTTTTCGAAGCTTATTGCTCAAAGAGCTTTAATAAATAGAAGTTTAATCTTTTTTTTGCGAATCATTATGCTCTTCGAAACAGCTTTAAAAATTGCTAATTTTCTTTGCTTGAAAAGCCTGCTCGCCTAATTTATTTTATTGCAAACCGATACAGTCCATCAGATAACTTCAGGCTTGCACAGAAATTTTTTTTTGCAAAGCAATTCTCTTTATGAATCATTTCGAATTTTTCCGAATTTGATCACATGAATAGTTTGAATAGGAAAATTTGAAATTTTGCTATCCAGTTGCCTTTCAAAAAAAACTTCGAATAGTTCCCATTTCATCGCGTCATTAGCTGCCAGGGAAAAATTAAAAAAAAATCGCAAACTAATTCGTTCTATGTTTTAAATAGAAATGTTTCCAACTTTCAATGCTTAATTAACTTGCTTAGAAAATGAGTTTTTGCCAACTGATTCGGTTCATGAAACAATTTTATACTTTCCATAGTTTTTTTTGCTTAGAAAAACTTTGTTACAAAATCGTTAACAGTCAATTTTTCGGAAACCGATTTTTGTATATGGATAACTTTCTAGAATCGGTTCATGAATGACTTTCCAATATTTCAAAGTTTCGTCTTTTTTTAGTTTTCAAAGAAAATATTATTTACGGGAAACGTTTCTGGCTATAAAACACTTGAAATTTTTTGAAGTTTAATTGCTTCATAACCTCGCTAAATTTTTCGTAAGTTGATTCGCTCTATGATTTGACGTGAAATAGTTCAAAATCTTAACGCTTCATTAATGCTCTTTAAAAAAATTCATTGCTTCGCCAGCTGATTTGCTCCCTGAAAATTTTACAGTTTGCCAAAAATCACTATTTGAAAAGGTTGCTGGAAAACCATCAATTTATTGCAAATCAAATTGTTCTGTCAACTTGATAATTTTTTGGTTGATTTGCTCTCTAAAAACACTTGAAAAATCATGAAGCTTTTGCTTGAAAAACTTTAAGATAAATATTAAATCTTCTTTGCGAACCATATTGTTCTATGAAACAACTCTGAAAATTTTTATATTTCTTAGCTTTAAAAGCTTGCTAGGCTAGATTAACTTTTTGCGAACCGATTCCGTCTAGGAAAGAGCTTGAAACGTTAATTGACTTCAAAAATTACCGCTCGACCAGCTTGCATCGAATAATTTTCTTAGCGAATCAATTCGCTTTATGAATCAACTTGAAAGATTTCGAAGTTCCTTCGCATGAATATTTTGCTTTGAACAATTTTTGCAACCCAATTCTCTCTCTGAGAAGACTTGAAACATTTCCATTTTCATCGCGTGATTAGCTGCGCGTGAAAAATTGATTCGTTCTATGAACTAACTAAAATTATTTCCAACTTTCAATAATTAATAAACTTGCTCAGAAATTAAAGGTTTTAAACCAACCTATTCGCTCCATTAAACATCTTCAAATTTGCCAAACTTCCAGCGCTTAAAAAAGCTTGGTAACAAAATTGTTAAAGGTCATATTTTCCTTACCAGATTTGTTTTGAATAATTTGTCAAAGGTTGGCTTCAGCTCTCACGTCTCTTTTTAATGAGCCGAAATCTGAAGGAGTGCCACTGGTTGATGCTAGCAATCAACTTTTTCTTGAGTAGTTTCCCGCTATTGTTAATTCGGACGTTCTGATTTTTGATTTTTGCCTTTTCAGTTGGTTCGAGAAAACTGAGCATGACAGGCTCCATTCGAAATTTTTAAAATTAAAACTTCACACCAAAATTACGTGTTTCTCAAGGTCAAACCTCCAGACATGACCGACTGGCACAATGTCATCCACATATTTCAGAAAAACATTACCACCTCGGTCCGATCTGTTTCCTGTTGTGATTTGCAAGTCCTGCAGTACCAGACTGCGTATGCGGACTCCGATATGTTGCCACATCCTAAGTGGAAACAGTTCAAGCTGGCTTCTCGTTCTACCCCTTCTATGTCACCTCTCTGATATCCAGGGCAGACTCGGTTGTTCTTTCAATATTGTTTGTTATTTTTTAACTCTTTTGAGTGCATTTTATTTAGTTATGTTGTGACGAATCGAGTTTTAGGTTCATATATCAAATATATGCTGTCCAATAAAAACTAATTGGGATTAGTTGAGTTCCCAGCCTTGTTTTCAACAGCGTTCGCGTGGTTTAGGTTTTTAGATGCCTAGCCAGCGGACGTCTTTTTGTATTTATTTTTCCCGTCTTTTTCGGGGGTATATTGTTAGTGACCTTTAAGCGGTAACGTTACTAAAGTTTCATGTCATAAGCGAAATGGCTCTGACTGATTGAGGTACTAAAGCGCAAAAGATTGTGTCCCTGGCCCTTGAGCCAATGGTTTTATGGCCAATTTCTCTTAGCTTATGTGACCTGGGTGAACGTTTGTTACAGCTGGCCAATCGTTATAAGACTTAGTTTTACTTTCTGTCGTAATGTTCTTTCCGGCTAATCTAACAGTTGTCAAGTCAGCTGAAAAATCTTTAATCTTCTAAGCTTTTTGGAATGCTTTTTCAAAATTTTATTACAATGTGACAACCTACAATTGTTTTTGAAAGTTGGTGCTCAATTGTTGCGGGACGAATGTAAAAAAGCCCAGAGCTTTTTAATGAGATTTTCAAAAAAGTTTCAAGTGTATCAGTAGAGTTATCAAAAAAGATATCAAAAACTTTCACACAAGAGGAGAAAATTAAGCGGAAATTCAGGATTTTACTCTTTAGATTGCCTGTTATCAAGGTCAATTTTTGCCAACAGATGAGGAAAACTCATTCTCAGACCAAGATTTCATTGGTAAGTCATTTAAATCAAATATTGATAATTTCATTAGGGGAAACTCTGAACATTTGTTTTTGGTCTATGTAAAAATTGACATCGAAAACAGGCAATTTAGAGAGTGAAATCCTAATTTTTGCTTAATTTCTCCTCTAGTGTATTTTTTATATAGGAAAAAATCTACACCTCCATTTGTCATAATGTTTATCAACGTTTGTAATGTATACTGAATTTCATTAATATCTGACATTAATATCTGACAAAATTTTTCATTTGGCAATTGAATTGTGTCTTTATTTTTTTGGGCTCTTTTGTGTTCATCAACAGTTTACCAGTTTTGTTGGCTATGTTTTGAAGTTTCTACATGTTATTTACCACTTATTCGAAATGCTTCGTCTTTTAATCTTGTAACATCAATTGCTGGGGCCCGAAATTATTTTATGTGGTGGGTAATACGGTCGTAGAAAATAGAGGTTGAAAGGCCATTGAAACTTGGGTTTTTTTACCATCTGTCTCTCCTCTTGTCTAAGTTTTTTTAAAAAAATTTTTGAGTTAAAATCATCTTATCTTCATACACAGCTTCGTAAAATCAGTAGTTATATCGAAAATTTGAAATTAAAATTTGATAGCTAGGACAGGAAGGGACTCAAGGGCAGAGAGGATAAAAGCTGACGTTTTGTCATTCATATCTTGAGAAAAAATCAACACTTTTTGCCCCTTGCAACTGATTTCAAAAATGCAAATGTTCGACAATTTTAGGGAAATTGTGAAAATGGTCGATAATTAAGGTATACATATAATCAATCTAAGGAATATAAAGTAAATAAATGCTCAAAAAAATCAGCTCAAAAATATTTATTATGGAATTTTAATTTACATTTGCAACTACGGCTCTTTTTCCTCCCTCCCCACCCCCACGAGCGAAATTTTACAAGTAAAATGTTGTTCACATTATCGGATTGTTACAAAAATTGGTATGCGGACTAATTAGGCTATGACAAGCATATTTGGTTTTCATACTTAAACTTGTAAAACCCCTCGTTACAACATAAAATTGATGCATATTATTATTATTAATAAGAAATCGACGGGAGAGTCCGTGGGAGTTCATCGACCCTCTGAGATGATTTTCAAGTTGTTAAATTTCTTGGTAAGTTGGTATATGTGAGGTGGGGGGGGGGGGTAAAAAGAGCCAAAACTACGAAAGAATTTAAAACTTATGGTACTCTAAAACCATAATCCAGAAAATTTTGACTAATATTGTTTCATCTTCGCTGATGTGTTTTTCACTAATGGCTTGGGATTTTTTCAGTTATATATAGGGCAGTCAGTTATATATTGTTTACTTGAACACATAATGGAAAAACGTATTTGATGAAGTTTGATGTATCTTCTGCTGTGTTATATGCGTTGTGTATAGAATACGTAAAGCGTGCCAGGTATTTTTTTGCTTTCAGGAGACGGTGTTTGTTTGCTGTGTTATTGCTGCGATCTTTTGACGATGATGGTGTTGGTATTGGGGACTACAATTGTATAGCAGCTGCTCGCATTTTACCTGTACTACAATATGAATAGTATGTACTATTCAACCGTCTCTCTACAACTAATGTAGCACGGCAACAAACGACAAGCGTTTGGATTTCATTTTGTTGCTCAGCGCATCAACTTGGGACGATAGAAAGACACGTGCTTAATTAAGATCTGAACGCGCATTTGATATTGATCGAATATTTTTACGCCGTGGTGGTTTGTTATTATTACGACGCTGCTCAATTTCAACTAGCACATTTTTGATTTAGAAGTTCCGACTAGAAAATAAGAGCAGACGAACATACTGTAGAAAGACATCCTTATCAATCTTCTTATTTTCGATATCGGCATCTGAGACAGGAACACTAGCATAGTTAGCGATGTTCAAGAATACGTTCCAATCGGGCTTCCTGTCCATCCTGTACTCGATAGGGAGCAAGCCCCTGCAGATCTGGAGTGCAAAAGTGAGGAATGGACACATCAAACGAATAACAGACAACGACATCCAGTCTCTAGTGCTGGAGATCTCGGGTACCAATGTGAGCACCACTTATATCACGTGTCCATCGGACGTGAAGAAGACCTTGGGCATCAAGCTACCCTTCCTGGTGATGATCATCAAGAACCTGAAGAAGTACTTCACGTTCGAAGTGCAGGTGCTGGACGACAAGAACGTGCGCAGGAGATTCCGAGCCAGCAATTACCAGAGCACGACTAGAGTGAAGCCGTTCATTTGCACGATGCCAATGCGACTGGACGACGGCTGGAACCAGATCCAGTTCAATCTGTCTGACTTCACGAGGAGAGCGTACGGGACGAACTACATAGAGACATTGAGAGTGCAGATCCACTGCAACTGCAGAATACGCAGAGTCTACTTCTCAGACAGACTCTACTCGGAGGATGAGTTGCCAGCAGAGTTCAAACTGTACCTACCAGTGCAGCAGAAGAAATAGACTCTTTAACGTAATTAGATCAATTCTGCATATCACTCCCTTCCCTCGTCCCCTCTCCATTTCCTCAACAACACTCGAGAAGAAATAGAATACAGAACAGAAGAGACCCATAGAGAACGGACAAACGACTTTTGATGAACCACTCTGCCCATTTCGCTCTCATTTTCACCCAACACTCCAATTACTAATTTGAACATTAAAGACTAGATTAACACAATGTTGAGTTATTCCATGTCAGATTATTAGGATATAAGTGAAAATGATTGCTGAATGTGCTTATATGATTCATTGCAAGTTGTTTTATTTGTAAGATGGATATTTGTTGTTATCGTTACTCAACTAGTCATTTAATATTTCAGTTTCGATATTTAAAACATTTTGATAATTGTTTTTTTTTGCTTTGATGCTTCAACTGCAAATGACCCGTTCCAGTGCCGCACGAGTTGCTGACAACTCATTGAGTGAATTGCAACTCGAAGCACTGGCTCTTTCCCAGTTTCCCCCCACCCTTTCAAATTCAGTTTTGAAAAGTCTATTTAACGTTTTCACAATGCAATGAAATTTGGCGTGGTGAACAAATCGACAATTCTGAATAGATTTGTTCTTCATACTTTACAGCGTAACATCACGTATTTAGCCGTTATAACACGTAAAACAAACATAAAACCCGGTTTTTTGAAAATGGGGGACTGGAAAAAAGCCTCTTCGCTGAGTATGATTAATCAGAGTGATAATATAATGTCATTTTCGCGTGAACGGGAAGTAAATTAGTGAACGGGAAGTAAATTAGCGTGAATGATTTTTTGTTCGCGCAAAACGAGGAAGAAAACTTGGAAAAAAATGCCAGAAAAGGTAGGTTAATAAGTATTGTATTTACAGCTTGTTTCCAAACTAATTAATTTAGCTCTGTTCTTACATCTCGGCCACGATCGAGTTCTAGTTCACCCAAGATGAAGCATGTGGCCTTCAACTTAGCGTTGATTAAGATTTTGATTAAACCGTCAAAATGATCTATGTTGTTTTTTAAGTGGAATCTTAAAGTGACAATAAACGATTAAGTGAATTGGCTTTTGTTTCTGCCAATTGATTTCTGTGATTAAAATCTTGCGTGAAAGTCTTTTTCACCATAACGTATAATAAGCAAGCGAGAACAAGGATCTTTTACTGTGTGCCAATGCATATAATTGGCTAGAGTATTGTATTAAAGTGTGCTTTTATAGCATTGAGTTTTTTGCTGGAGACACGACCAAGTTATCAAAATATTATTACAAAGCAACAGAAAACGTCTTATTATTACAGTGACCACCTCAACAAATGGGGTGTGAGAGGCCCCTCTAGTAGAACATCAGAGCTGTTTTTATTTATCTCACCCGAAATAGTTAAATTGAAGGAAACCTCTAATGGGGGCAAGAGTTTCAACATATGAAAGCCCTATGGGACGTGACGGGTTACAAATTAAAATTCAAGAAAATAGGTTGAAAAAAGTTTTCTGAATATTCCGTTTTTCAGACGACTAATTTACACCGAAGGAGTGAAAGAGTTAACTTCCTTTATAATTCTACTACAATTTTAACGTTATTCTAGCTATAGTTACCTCATTTTTTTCCCGAATATTTTCTGTTTAAATACTCGCTCACCGCTTGATTTTTTAAGATTTAATTAACGTACAGAAGAGTCGTGTATAGGTATTAATGATGTTTTTGTTTAGAAAAAAGTTGACGATATTATTCGACAACAATTAATAGCCATTTTGAGTCAATGAACGTAGTGAAGACTGGTATATAGGTCTAGGTGATTTTTTTGTTTTTGTTTAGAAAAAGTCTAAAATTGTTGATTATCAATTTTTTAAGTTCAGTTCATTTCTTTTGTTAAAAGGAAGGCAACCTCTATTATGGAACAGCAAAAGTGTGAAATTTACGAAAAACGTGATCGATTTCTTGTTTCGAAAGTGGATTAAAATTGCTTCACGCTTAAATTGATTTTTCGCGGTTTGATTTTTTGATTTGTTTTTAGTTCAGTTCATTTCTTTTGTTAAAAGGAAGGCAACTTCCACTATTGAGCAGTAAATTTGTAAAGGTTACGGAAAACGTGATAATTTTCTAATTTCGAAAGTGGATTTTAAAGTTCAGATTTCCCAACGGAAAAAAAAAAATTACCTATTGATCCAGTTTTCTCAAATTGCGTTAATCTTAGAAATCATAATATGTTCTCGAAATTAACAGTTTTTTCAAAAAAACTAGTTAGTGTTTATTCCGTCTCCTTGAGTTCCTTGACTAGTTTCCAACTGTCTGTCGGCTATGATTTTCTTATTCCGTTGCTTGGAATATTGTCGTCGGAAAATATTGAGGCAACCGGCTGTCTTTGGAAAAATAATGAAAACATATGGGCTGACAAAGAGTTACGATACATTGCCAGGCAATTGAAAAAATTGTTTACTTTTGTGATCAGCAAGGGTGTTGCAACAGGTACTAGACTTTTTCCCCGTAAATAACTTCGTTCACAGGGTGACTGAATTTGGTTTTCATCTCCATCTGTACTTCAGTCTGCTATCAGACAAATTTGAAACTTTTTGACTTCTCTCGAGAAGTACCCAGTAAAACCTGGGTTTTTGGGTCCAGTCGAAATTGCAGGTTTGGAGAATCTCTTCTGCTTAACTGACTAAACCCAACTTTTTGCGAACAAAAAAGTTATGATTCTAGGAAATGTCAACTTTCTGATTTGTTGACCGTTTTTTGTGGACTTTTCTCTCTATCCTGCCAAACCTGATATAGGTTTAACTGACGCAACAAGTTGTTGGAAGCTTGCCATTAAAATTTGCTACGCCCTGTTTCTTTTAAAAAAACTTATGTCATTCAATCCAGTGAAAGTTTTGAAACTATGACCGTTTTTTGGGAACTTTTTGACTCTACGCGAAAATTACTGTGCCACTTTTCAGATTTAGTTTTCAATCGAGAAACCCCATTTTGACAATTTTCTCTTTTTTAGCGGTCACAAAATGCTTTAGCAGAAAAGTGTTACGGAATTCGGAAAGTCAAGTTTTTGAACTTTAACAGTTTTCTAGAATTTTTGTTTTTTAAAAAACTTACCCTATCAATTCTGAGATGAAAATTTCATTCAAAAGAAGCGGTTGCGCTAATTTTTCCCGCAGAAGTGGCTATTCTTCAATTTTCTGTAAGAGATGTTATGTTTTTGGGATTGTTCCAAGATCTCAAAAATTTTCACTCTTCTTAACTTAGGTTTTGGACAAAGTCTTTCTTTTGAAGTTTCGCATTTCGTCCCGCATCAGTACAATAAATTCAAAAAAATATCAAACACATGCCTTAATCGAGACTTGCGATAACTTTTTTCAACATATTCCATTTTTTTCTACTTCAATTTTTGTGTGTTCAAAATATTAGTTAAAAAATTGTGTCTATTTGTGTTTGGTGCCACTTTTGCTGCATGCATTAGCAATTTATTTCAAGAACGTTTTTGTTTCAACACGAGAGGATTGGCACAAAAAAATCCTCTCGGATTGAGAGCTTCCCAATTTTTCATAATAAGTTTTTCGGTTAAGATAATTCGAGCTATGAAACAATGTTGATGTATTTATTGTATACCTGAGAAATAGTTCCATTGCTGAACAGGTTTTGAAAAAAAATGAACAAATCTTGAAAAGTCAATTGCAAAAAAATAAGCTTGAGTTTTTTTGCGAATTTTCAAGCTGTAAGAGCAACTTCAAAAGTTTGATAGATTCGTTAGTACGATAAATTCAAAAAGATGCGAACCGAATTTGCGGAAGTTTTTTTTGTTTAGAGAGCTGAAAAAGTATTCTCGAAAAGGTTTGATGTAAAAAGAAAAGAAACACTGCAACTTTAAAATGTTATTGAATCGATAGTTTGAAAATGTCAATTCAAACTATCGATTCAAATTCTAAACAAATGAAAAATTTTCAGTTTCGTAATTTTTTTTGCAAATGGCATCGTATAAAAAAAAACAACTTGAAAGTTAATAAAGTTAAAGTGCTTGCACAGCTTGATTTAAGATTTTTTTTTCACTTTTTGTGAATTGATCTCAACAACAATAACAAGTTCAAAGATTTCAATTCTTCATTAATTTATCCCTTGCTTATATTTTTTCTGAACTGATTCAAATTATGAAATTATACTGACATTTGAAAATCGATCACTTGATTAGCTTGAACAGAAAAGCTTTTGTTTTTACGAATTGATAACATAAGAAAATAATCTTCGTTTTCAAGGATTTGAAAAGTTTCATTGAAAAACTTCACTTATTGCGAAATGATTCAAGCTATGAAAACAGTTTGAAGGAATTGGAAGGTATATGATTTGGCAGTTTGCTATAAGAATCCTTAACTTCTACAAACTGAAAGTGTTTCAGAAAACTTAAATTGAAAACAAAATTGAAATTTTCTGAAAATATTGTCGCTAGAAAATCCTTTTTTGAAAAACTTCTTTTTTTGCAAACCGATTCAAGTTATGGAAAAATCTTGAAGTATTCAGGTTGTTATCGCTTGCAAAATTTTTCTTGAAAAAGGTAACTTTGAACTTCATCAGTTAAGTTTTGAACTTCACCAGTTATAAATGGCTTTGAACCATTTGAAGCTATGAAATCAAAATTAAAATAGTTTCAAATATAATTGCCTGGGCAGCTTGCTTAGCAAAGCATCATTATTGTGCAACCAGTTTAAGGGTACAATAACAACTTGAATTTCTTCAAGCTTTCAATTTTGTTCTTTGAATTCATTTTTTTTTCAAACAGTTGATCATTCAGAAACATTTGGAATTGTTTAAAAAATCATCTCTTGAAAAACAATCAGCTGAAAACATGAAAAAAATCTGAAATAATACGCAAATAACACCTATACGCAACCAGGAAAATCCAAAGTTTTTTTGTGAGCCGATTATGTTTTAATGAATTTAAGTTAACTGATTTGAATGGTTTGCTTCCAAACCAAAATCCTTAGTTAACAAGTTAACTTGATGTGCTACCTCCAAAAATTTTCATTTTTTTAAACCATTTTAAGCCATCGAAGCAATTCGAATTGAATTATTTTTTCCTTGCTCAAAAGTTTTTATCCTTGCGCTTTAATAGTTTAGTTCGCGTCAAATTTGCTCTATATTTCGGCTAACTTTATGAGCTATTTAAGGATTTTGAAAAATATACCAGTTTTCGTTGCTGAAAAAATTTGATTTGCAGCGAACTAAAAAAAGATATCAAGTGAACTTGAACTATTTGAAAGTGTTATCGGCTGATAGATTATTTCAAAAACCTAACTGTTTGCTTACTATATTTATAAAATTTTGTTCTTGGAATTGCTGACCTCAATATATGGCTGAAACAGTTTTAAGGATTTTGAAAAATATACCAGTTTTCGTTGCTGAAAAAA